CAGGGACTATTCCGCTTCTGAACATTATATTTCGTGTAAAAATGTCTTTGATTACATTAACAAAAACAAACATTATCAGTTTGAAAGACGCAAATGCGACTCATTCTTCAATAAGCTGCCAATTTGTCCAAATGATTTATTGAAAAAATAATTGTCTAATGCTACTGTTCTATTATAAAAGAAATAGCATTTGTTTATTATCGTGTCTTCAAAAATAGCTCTATGCTTTCTGTGTATTATCATATCATTTCTTGGAATTGTTGCTTCCGTATCGGTTATGTTGTCACGCAAAAACAACGATCCGACTTTCCCGTATATTGTTGATGATTTCGTCTAAACATCTCCTTCCCAAATTCCCAATAACCTAGGATAATTCTCGTTCCTCGTTCCTCGATTTCTCGTTCCTTCCTTCGCGCACAGTTTGGTTGTTTTTAACTGAATGAAAGCCATTCTTTATTTAAGGCCGATATTTCAACCGTCAAATATCTTTTAACTGAAGAAAAATCATCATGTTTTTGCATCTTTCCCATACTGAAACTGTCAATGTGCCAAACTTATTCTTCACTTAAAAGTTAACCGCCGATTGAAAAATCAGCCTATAATTTATGATTAAACTTTAAGGAATACAAAACAAACTTAGTTCTATGTTTTTTTATGCCAAATCATTTAGAATTTAGATGCGTAGTGTAGAATTTACGAGCGTGTTTGTGATCGCGGGATGCGGGATGTCTTTCTGTTAAATTATCTTTTGCAATGTTCTATTGAAGTTTCGCATTTTGAAAGTCTCGGGCACAGCTCAAACAAATTTTTTTTGGCCTTACCTAATATTTAATAACTACTTTCATTACTTAAATAGCAATACGTCGTAAATGACATTCTAATTACAACATAATAATATACCTAAGCTAAATATCCATTAAAAATACATTATCCACATAAAGATATCCAAGAATACCAATTTTCGTGTATAACTTGTTTTACTTTTCTCTTTTACTATGACACAATGTGTGTGGATCTTGATTCGAGAGGCGAATACTTCATGCTGACCGCAGAAGCATAGTGAAAATAACATTATTATGGCATTAGTTCGCCACTGACTGTACAGTGTTATGTGCAAAATTACAAATAAATAAATTATTAGTAGGTAAGCGAACAGCTTTTATGATGTTGGCACGTGGCCGCAACATGGTGTACAAGATAAGGGTGACGTCGTAGTGAGGTTTCATTAAGTCGGGGATAATTTGCAGCCTCTTAAAATTTTCTCAGTCTAAAAAAGTAACGTGTCGTGTAAGTTGACTATTTTTTGAGTTACATAACATAACAATAAATTAAATCGTCATCGGCAGCTTTAGACTAATAATACTGTCATATTTGCAAGGTAATGATAGATAGTGCTTTCCCCTGCTTACCAAAATGGTCACACACATATTAATATTATTACGATAAACTTTAGGTAGTACCTACCTACCTACTATTATTACGAAATAAGAGGCAGACACGCCTAGTTAAAATGCTGATATGAATTAAACTACGAGTAGATATTATGCGATTTATATTGGTACTTGGCAATAGTAAATGAAAGACAAGTCAAGATAAGGACAAATAAATACTACAATAAGTATCGTTGTTTCGTATCATAAATACTACTAACATCTAACAGGTCTGATCTTAGGAGAGTTGTAAAATGTTTATCAAAATAAAAATATAAAATTATTCATGAAAATTGATTCAATTAAAATGTCGTAATTTTAAATAGTAGAGTCTACTATGTTCAAAGGAATTTGTTGTTGACTTGTCACCTTATAGTGATGATCATCACTTACCATATTGGCTAACCACAAATACTAAAATAATTGGCGTTCATACACATTATGTAGTGTACCTACTGGTCAATCAAACAAAGTGGCAACTGCTTAGGTACGTAGACAGTATTTAACTCAAACACTCGTGCTCTAAGTCTATGTTAACAAAGTATTAAGATGTATTGTTGTAAATGATAGAAACTCATTATTGGCTTCTACACAAACACTCCATTTAGGCGGTCTTATCTCTAGAAAGAAGATTAAAATAAAAAGGGAAAGGCGCTGAAAAAATAGGATTAAGACATTTTAGGAATTAAGTAAAATTAGAGTAATAATAGTATACTCGCACTCCTCTTCCACTGCGTCATCGACGGTCGAGGAAATTAGTGGAAAGAAAGCAGTAGAACACACAGTAGAGTCCCCCCTTGTGGGAATAAGGCCCGGTTTTCAAGAACGCGGAAAGTGATGTGTATGAATGGATAACCAATCAGATTTCGTTATTTCCACATCTGACGTGGAAGGAAATACGATTTACCTCTCTGCTCAGCTACGGTTTGGAAATCTGATAAACCTCTGACAAACACGGAATACGCGTGATATTCAGAATTCGCCACAGGCTAGTCCTATCCATCATCATAATATATTTTGTTTTTTTACTGAGAATCGGAACACTTCGGTTAGGAAGTTTCAGGTATTTTACCTAATAAAAGTTCAAGAAATTATCTTCCAAGTTAACGGGTCAAATTAAAATTACCGAATCAATATACTCCTAATTCAACAAAATTACTAGTCATAGCCGATGCGATGAATTTGCGCGCATCAGCTAATCCGAATTGAGGTTGATTTACGTAGGTTTTCCTGCCTACCTCAATAATGTTGATCTTTCAACCAAATTCAATTATTTATTTGTTTATTTAAATAATATGTTGGTAAGGTAGAGTTCCATCATGGGACTTCGTCAATATTTTTGGTTACGTTCGAATTTTTGGGATTTATTATTTGTTTATCATGCATCATCTCATTATTGTTATCTTTAGTACAGACAGTGCCATCTCTTAGCAGGTTATGGAACATTTATATTGTGGATTCTGACATGTTATGTTTACACAAGTACACAAGTTTACAAGCACATCATGATTAAAAATAAATCTTACACTGTATTTTTATGTTGATTGTAAGGTAAGGGAATATTTTGAAGAAAAATCTTGTCACTGGGATATGAAACTGAATTCCACTGGTCGTTTTGAACTTGAATTTACAAAGACCTTTTGCTTAAGTACGTATTTGGTGTGTGCTATTAATAACTTGGTAAATATGTAACCAAAGTCGAGGTTACAAATATTAACTTGAATTGAATACGTGTGAGTTATGACGTAATTAAATGCTACTAGGAATACTTTGTACGATGATCTGTCTGCCGACCATTGTTTAATTGAGACTGTTGTTTGGGACATGTAGTGCAAAAGACCGTTTATTTAACAAAATGGTTTCTTTTTACTGTATTTTAGGCATTCCTACCAAACTTTTTTTTACGTTACGTTTAAATAAAGTCTTCTTTTGTTTCTTTAATGTTCAGTTGGGACAACGTAGGTATTTAATTTTCATGAGATTTTGTTGTATTCTTAAAATTAACACCATGAACATGTTATCAATTTTTACTGGGATCAGTAATTCTATTTTCTTGCGTGTGATGACTTCTCGTTGTTCTCTATTCGAATTAAAAACTGGAGCATAGTTTTTGGTTAGCATCCAACTGTCATTACATCCAGGTGTGGACACCTGGACATGTAGTAGAAGTGTGTATCAGACATTGTATTTGATGTCCTCTACTGAACATTTCAGTATGGTTCTGTACCTTACCGGTAACGTGAAAAAAAAATAGCTGATTGTCACTATGTCAAGCTCCAAGAAAGTCTGTTTACGACTTAACTTATTTTTATTTCCGATAACGATTCCACTGTTATGTTAGTAGCTCACAAATTGAACGTCTGGGTTCAATGATAGGATTGGATTTATAAGCAGAGTTTAAAATGTTTTAATTAATGTCAACTGAGGGTTGTAGTTCACCACCATTTGTTTGCAGTTGCACAAAAAGTAATCATAATCACATTACCTACCTTTTTATTAAATTCTAAAAATAGCTCGAGAGAGCGTTATCGCTGACGTTATCTCAAGGCAAGATCACGCCGCGCCGGCGCATGTCGTCGCCACTTCATTGCTCATGTTGGTGCCGCGGTGTGCGCGATCGCCTGGGAACACCACGTCTTATCCAATTTATATCTGGTCTGGTTTCTTCATAGGGTAGCAATTTATGGAATAGAAATATGATTATGTAATCATCGATAGACTGGCCTAAGTAGGGAAGTTGATGTGCAATCAATTTTTATTCTTGTAAATACACATCCAGTTTAATTTTTCTTAAAAGGTATCTTTAAGCAATGAAAACACCGATGCTTTACTTGTTTAATGCCCAAATTTTTGTTAGTCTTGCTGACGTCTAGTTTTGTTGATATGCTGCTGATAACAAATACAAAAAGTCTGAGGGAACGCACATATTTTCTGAGTGCCCAATTCCATTCTTGGTATGCACCATAAAATCCCGATTCAAGATGAAGATCAAGGATATGTTACCTATACATAAGAATACGACCCTAGGCATAAGAATGTTGTCAAAACAGCAGCATGTCAATTGGTTTAATCAGCCGCCGGCAGCGAGGCAATTACTTAGTTGACAGCATGGAAGCAATTCCTACATTTGAGGGCGGAAAGCGACTGCAGGAAGACTTCCCTTTATTGAGTTACAAAAATAGACGCGCTCATTGTCGCCTCCATGCACCATCTCGGCCGTAGGGCTCCGCCAGCCACGTCTAACTTAATATATTCACACCTACAATCCAGGCCATTCCAATCATATTCATATGATTCCTTAACTCCTGTAAACTAAAAATACATTATGACTCATTCGTCACGGTTCGATTTTTAATGACGGATGAGATTACTTGGATGGATCAGGTATTTAATTTGACCTTATTACATATTAATGACATTTTTATATTTACTTAGTAATGGAGGTTAGTAATTGAGTCGAAGAATGCTTACTATCCAGTTAGTAATAATGAAATAAAAAAACATTAGTAGCACATTAACTGCGATTGTTCTGATATTTTTAAAACAATACATTTAGTATTTGAGCTAATAAGCAGCGACTGTGTTATGTGTTGCTACCCGTTGACATGGTAAATACTACTTATTTTCTAAAACTAATTAGTATTTCGAAATGTGACAAAAGTAACCCAATTCTAAGAGAGAGTATGATTTAAATTGTAGCTTATTAACTGTGTCATTTCTCTGTTAAATCATTTCATTCGCTAATACATAAATCATCATGATAATTGCAAAGCTGCGTTTATGAAATGAAACCCGCTCAACTCAATCATTTTTAATTGACTAAATGAGATCAAACCAATATCGTTGAGGTCGAAGGCCGAGCGAATCATAATCATAATCTTAAAAGCATATTTGCATGCTGAAATCGTTTCTTATTTGTAGTGTTTACGTTTCCCATAGTTGAACGTTTATTTATTTAAGTTTAATTTTCCTTTTTGCATGACTTCCATTAGAATTTACTCTATTTAAATAAGTTATTTATAGTCTATCATATTTGCAGCAATTTGAAAAGTCATACATTATGATTGTGGTATCAACTAGTTTAGTTAACTTTGTTTGAAGTGACGATGTTCACCGTTTGACATGATCATATTAACGCGAGTTTTGGAGTAGGATGATTCGACGGACAGGAACACGTAATTTGTCGCGCCTGTTGTCTGTGTAACGTATTGAGCTACACAAGACAAAACTATTTATCTTGACGCTTAACGTTGACAAATACGAGTGTGCAAGCACATTCCCATTTCATAATGAAGAAGACATTGTCTCTAACGTGTTATCGTTAGTCGATTATCCTTTTATCGTTTAATGACCCACTAGTTTTTCGAAAAACTCGTAGTGGCTCTTATCAAAGGAAGATAATTAATGATAATATTTCATTCAACTTCAATAATTATTCATTTCGTACTAATTTACTCAGACGATCTTATCATTTGGTTTAATACATATATTGCAAAACAACTAAATGAAATAGAACTCCTATCAGGTACAAAAAAGCAGTTATTTTTATATTTGTGTTTATATCCAAGGAAAGTTAACCTGATTATTTTTCTTCTAATTTATTTGTAGTAGCAATTGACATTACAAGCGTAGTCTTGTACCTTCCAGTGCCACTATTGGATATCTTTTTTTGGCATCAGGTTGATTCAAGACTGCAATATATGGGAAACCCAAATTGCGAACCACTTCGAATCGTGCGTGTTTTCCTGCAAATCTAATTCAGAGTATTCAGTGTTCGAGTTTTCTTTGTAAATGTGAGTGTTTTGTTGCGCAGGTGTGGGTGCCGCGGTGAGGGCGTCGCCATGTGGCGCGGCGCGCGAGCGCTGCTGCTGGCGGCGCTGGCGCTGCTGGCGAGCGCCGGGCCCTCGCTCGCCGCCAAGAAGTACAGTCTCACCATCGGCTACCTGCCCTCCATCAAGGGCGAGCTGCGCGACCGGCAGGGGCTCGCCATCTCAGGGGCCCTCTCTATGGCTCTCGAAGAGGTACGCTCTCAATATCTAGAAGTACAGCCTCTCCATCGCCTACCTGCCCTCCATCAAGGGCGAGCTGCGCGACCGGCAGGGGCTCGCCATCTCAGGGGCCTTCTCTATGGCTCTCGAAGAGGTACACTCTCAATATCTAGAGGTACAGCCTCACCATCGGCTACCTGCCCTCCATCAAGGGCGAGCTGCGCGACCGGCAGGGGCTCGCCATCTCAGGGGCCCTCTCGATGACTCTCGAAGAGGTACACTCTCAATATCTAGAATTCTAGAGGTACAGCCTCACCATCGCCTACCTGCCCTCCATCAAGGGCGAGCTGCGCGACCGGCAGGGGCTCGCCATCTCAGGGGCCCTCTCGATGGCTCTCGAAGAGGTACGCTCTCAATATCTAGATGTACAGCCTAACCATCGCCTACCTGCCCTCCATCAAGGGCGAGCTGCGCGACCGGCAGGGGCTCGCCGTCTCAGGGGCCCTCTCCATGGCTCTCGAAGAGGTATGCTCTCAATATCTAGAAATACAGCCTCACCAATCTCACCATCGGCTACCTGCCCTCCATCAAGGGCGAGCTGCGCGACCGGAAAGGGCTTGCCTTCTCAGGGGCTCTCTCTATGGCTCTTGAAGAGGTATGCTCTCAATATCTAGAGGTACAGCCTCACCATCGACCTCAAACGTTATCCAAAGCTGGCCAGACGGGATGAGGAGGCACATTCTCATTTATATCTTGAAGAAGTAAATTTGCAGTTATTATTAGAGCAGTGTCTAAGGGAAAGATATGTGTCCGACCTACGGTTTTTTAAGAGGTACGCTTCCATTTAAAACCTTAATATTTATACAATAACAAAAGATAACCGCTGCGCTAAGACTACAGATAACAACTAATACGTAGTTTCTCTTAAACCTGCAAACGAACATGCCATGTTGTCAACAACGAAATGAGATATATCTGTGATAAAATAATACCAACCACTCAAGATTATAGTATTATGCACCTACGTCACAAAACTGTTTCAGTTGTAGACAGATCTAATAGCCTTTTCAATCTAGAAAATCAAAAACACAAACGGCGTACAAACAGTTTTTTGTTTAGTTAGCTGTTTTAAAAAATCGTGAAGTTTTGAAGCCATATCAATACTCAAATAAATTATTATTACTGACGGGCTAACACTATCTATCAACACAACATTACTACAAGCAATTCAAACATATATCATGCATCGTCTGTTAATTCACGAGCGCCCATTGGGATGTATATTCAAACTTTATGCTTGAAATGTACGATGATAAATTGTATTTGTATAACACGAATTCATATCTACACTTCCGTAGTTAAATTTAACTTGAAGGCAAAAGAGTCGTTATTTTTAGAATACGTGTTTGAAAATTGCAGAATGGTATGTGGGGGGCTGGGAGACTAATATTGATGTAGCGCGGTACCGGTGTGGTATGGAGAAGAAAGTAGGTGTATGGAGAGGTCACGTGCTAGTTTGTGGTGACAACAGCTGATTTATTACACACTCTGAACTCTAATGTACTCTGCAGGGTGCCCGGTATTAATTCGAATAGGAATTTGTAGAAGTGGTTATTTATCTAGCGGGTAATTTAAATTAACAAGCAATAAAGATAACGCGGAATACCTGCCTTAAACAAATAACTTATTTTCTCGTTTAAATGATAGTCCATCAGACTTTCTTGTTGTCATTTCTATAGTTAGGTAAGTATAGTTGTTGTTTACTTACGTGTAAAAATGGATTCGATTAGACATCGATTTTTTAAATACATGCAGATAATGTATAATATAAGTTTATACGCTGGAGCATTCTCATACCTCAAAAAATACATCGCTTACATTAAATTGTAAGGAAAGGAACAAAGGAAAAACTAAATGTTGAAGTCCGTATCCTGCTTACGTCATCCTTGTTTAGACGTAATACAAAGTTGGTCGGGACCGAAAACTTACATGAAGTTTTGATGACAAATGGTTTAAGCGCATAATACTAAGAGCAAAAAAAGACAATTCCTACTAACTTTCTATAAATAAAATAGTTTTAACTAAATTATTACATTTTTACGAAGTTAGTAGGGTTTTCTTCTTATTCGTTTCGTTTTTGGCAGAGGCGTTGTTCACATCGGTTGTAGAGACGGATACAACTCTCCGCACGATCTCCCGCTATCTCTCTCTGTTGGCAGACTGTCTGATGCAGTCATACGCTATATACTTAGATTAATAAAACCTAGATAGATAGTCAGTGCACGAAAAGTGAGGCAGATTTTAGTAAGCCTGAATGGCTTACCCGTAAACGTCACATGAACTGTCAAAGTGAAAAATTGGTAAACACGTCCGACAACTTTTAATTAATTAAGACGTGCAGTGAAAGGGTGTCTAAATACATCAGAAAAACGAAAGAAAGTGACCAGTGTTATATTTCATAAGTAATTACTACGATTCGACGCGTATTTTGCTTGAATTTGGCTTTCAAAAATTAAATACGGGAATGATACCAGTAACAAGAAAATTTATTTCCCAATTGTTCGCCGTACAAATACACTTCCTTTTTTATGAAATCGAGACTTTTAAGACGATTTATCTTATTGTAATTAGGTAGGTACTTTGAATTCAATAAATAAGTAAGTACATGATGCGTTTTGTTTTTGTTAATTATAAAATAATTAAAAACGTATTAAAAATTTCCCTACTTTCGGGAAAATCGCCTTCACTGTCTACACTCCCCAACAAAATTGACACTAATGACATAAGATTTTTGCCTCACTCTTGACGAAGCGTTTGTATGAAGACTATCCATCTAGGTTTTATTAATCTAAGGCTATATACGCCATCTCCCACTGCCGATTTCACTTGGCCGGTCCAGCGCATAAGTGACCTGTCACGCGATCACGGGTTCCTTCGAATTTTCCTTGGACGACCAGTCGTTCTATGGAGACATGTTTCGGACATGTCTCCATAGAACGACTGTGTAGGGATGTGCCTAACTCATAAACTTCAAATGATTGTTAGTTCAAAATCTTGTAACGCCCCTGCAGATCAACAACAGCACAGACATCCTGCCGGAGGTAGAACTGAGGCTGGAGTGGAACGACACCAAGTGCGACACCATCACAGCCACGCGGCTGCTCACTGATATGAGCTGTAGCGGCGTGGTGGCCTTCTTCGGGCCCGAAGGCCGCTGCCACACCGAGGCCATCATCGCGCAGTCCAGGAATCTGCCCATGATATCATACGTGAGCTCACTTTCATTTCATTTTCACTGCTAATTAGCAGCAGCATTTATAATTTTAGCAGTTTTATTCTGGAACCGATTCGTGTAATGTACTAACTAATAACTAATAATAACTGGATGCGGGCAGCGCAGGACCGTGCATTGTGGAAAACCTTGGAGGAGGCCTTTGTCCAGCAGTGGACGTCATTTGGCTGAAACGAACGAACGAACTAACTAATGTAGTTGTACCTTCTTCGCTGTATGAAGCAATTTCGTATTTAAAATGTCACGAATGTAACTTTGTCGAGAGTCTAGCACTTTACGTGTATGTTTGTCCTAGCAAAAAATGCAAATAAAAGAACGATGTTTTTATTTCAGAAATGTTCAGATTACCAAAGTTCAGTGCTTCCCAACTTTGCAAGACTGGAGCCTCCAGATACACAGGTATGTGACACTATACAATTTAAATGTTACAAAATTAATTGATCACAATATTTTTATTAATGGCAATTCCTTATTTAGGCGACGAAATCTGTAATATCGTTACTGAGATACTACAGATGGAACAAGTTCTCGATATTGTACGAGGAGCAGTGGGTGACTGTGGCGCTGACCTTGGAAAACCACGCGAAGAAAAACAACATGACCGTTAACCACCAGAGGCCCGTCATCGAAGGGTTCAAGTGCTGCGAGGAGAAGCGAACCTGTTGCGCGCCCGGCTTTTGGTACCAGTTCATACAGGACACTAAAAATAGAACAAGAAGTGAGTTGGATATGTCAACGTGAAATTGTGAACTTCGTCAGTTTATAATATAATGCGTGAGATTGTTAACTAAAATTGAGTTTGGTTAGGTTGGATTGTAATCTAACTACGTCAGGTGATAATCTGACGGAATTCTCAATTTTGTGGTGACAGATATACAGGTTGTAAGAGACAGGTTGCCAATAACTTAAGTCCAAAATTAGATATCATGTTATTTTCGGAAAAAACGCGATATTTTTTCTTATTTCTTTATTTATTCTTACTGTAAATATAAATTTGATAGATTTGAGAATATTCTTTCATTGGTTTCGAAAGTATGATTATATTATTTTTTGCGATTCTCTTACAATATTCATCAAAGAATTTAAAAACTTGTTCACTTGTTTTCAGTTTACGTATTTTTGGGAACGACGGCCGGTCTCATTGACATGATGTCTGCTATGGAATCTTTGAAACTATTCATGAATGGAGAATACATGGTCATATTTGTTGATATGATGACATATTCCACTAGGGAGTCGTTGAAGTACTTGATTAGTAAGTAACCAAATATTCATAAAGCAGCATTATTTATTTTTTAAATTGTGATTTGCTAATGTTAGCTTTATGTAACTAGAAACGGAGGACCGAGGGTCGAAATTGGTGTGCCCAAATACGAAAGAGTTCAAGAAACGTGCACAGTCGCTTCTGGTGGTGGTATCCTCCGAACCGGTGGGCAGCTTTGAGAATTTTACCGCCCGAGTACGCCACTACAACGCTATGAAACCATTCCTGTTTCCACTTCCAACAGTCTTTGAGAACAAATTCAATAAGGTAATACTCATGTACTCTTCTTGTAAAACTTCGTAAAGTATCATAGATAAAAAACAAGGAGTTCCACAGGGTTCTTTTTTAGGACCACTGATATAAATTGTCTAAAAAACATATGAAAGTACACTTCTGGTCACGTCATCATTATAATTCGAATGACTGGTTGCTTTTCAGTTCGTCTCCATATACGCTGCATATCTATACGACTCTGTAAAGCTTTACGCTACTGCCTTGGATAAACTGATTAGAGAGGATACCGACAAAGAAGCGCTTACTCAGCAGAAATTAATTAGTATCGCTTCTAATGGAACACGGATCGTCGCTAAAATGATTCAGAGTACTCCATACAAAAGTAAGTTATACAGTTGAGGCAAACAGAATTTGGCAATCTTGAAAACAAATTGTTGAGCTCAACATTATTTAACTTTGCTATCAATTTAGTTTCCCGTAAACTTGAGACGGTCTACTGCTAATGTCATTCCTTGTTTGTTTACAAGATTGCTGATTATCCATAAAGTATTTCCGTTCAACATCAAATCGATATCATTTCATTCATACATTCCTAATCTATACATGTTTATCGATAGTTATATCAGCTATCAGTTACGGTATCATAAAGATCAGTTGTTTTTTGTTATCATAAGCATCGGCAATTCCATTTAGTCATGTAGTTGAATGGGCCCGTTATTGCAGGTGTGTCGGGCATGACGATTCGACTGGACGAGAGAGGAGACTCCGAGGGAAACTTCTCGGTGCTCGCGTTCAAGCCTCTGACCGATGACGACGTCAACTGTTCCTACAGCATGATTCCTGTTGGACACTTCCACCAGAGCAACAGGGAATTCCCAGTTAGTGTTCTGGCTATTTTAGTGTATTTTTAACCAAAGGAAAAGCTTTTGGACTGCGTCCTACTTGGCGGAAAGTGATGAGCAAGCCGAAAGGTGAAGCGAGCTTCACCCGGAATCCTCAACTACAAAAGGAACTGAGTGTTGTATTTCAAGCAAGCAGCAAGCTTTCTGAGAGTTTACTGTTTTCGTCTCGTGAATTTTAATAATTTTATCATTTAGTTTTATATCAGTTAAAAGGAAATTGACTTTAAATTAGATCCAGATGGTTACACTAATCACATTTAGATATTTTAATCTCTTTCTAATTTTAGTAAAGACCAGGCGCGTTAGTAGTTCATATCTTTATTACGCTGTATTGAGGATTTATACGAGTGCGCACTCGCATTACATTTGTAATTATTATAATATATTATAATGGAGCATAACGCTTTAGAATGCGGTGCTAAAATTGTACCAGTTTAACTCATGAATAATGCTGTCGTTTGAATTGTTTTAGCATAACGAGCGTCATTGTTACTTGCAGGAATATAAATTGAATCCGAAACTGCCTATCGATTGGCCGGACAACGTGAAGCCAGAGGATGAGCCATCGTGCGGGTTTCTGAATGAGAAATGTCCGAAAGACGACTCTCAAATAACTTCGCTGGTGGTGGCTGGTACTCTGGCGGTGACGCTGTTCTGTGCGCTGGTGGTCACCATCAGTATTTACCGCAAGTGGAAGATCGAGCAGGAAATCGAGGGTCTCCTATGGAAGGTTGATTCGAACGAAATCGCAGGTTATTTGGGTAGCGGACTTATTTGTTCTCCTAGTAAGGTAAATAATAAAGATGTTGTCTACTTTGATGGAATGCAAATTTAGTTTTTCTAAACGCTAAGGCCTTAATTGCATGTTTTTGTTTATTTATATTACATCTTTTTACGTACTTGTATGGTTTATTCAAATTATATTGGCGAGTATTTGATTAACATTTTCATACTCTTTCAGCTTAGTTTAGCAAGTGGCATATCGTGCGAGAGTAGGTGCTGTACACAGATATTCACCACCACAGCTCAGTACAAAGGGAATGTTGTTAGAATTAAGGAATTGAAGTTCTCGAAAAAGAAGGTGAGTTGAAATTATGTTGTAACTTTTAACCTTATTTGTATTACTATAGAGACGTAAAATGCATTATGAAAAGTGTTTCATGATGATTTTTGCACGATAAATAAGGCGTTCATTTTCACTTAGTTCCACATAGTCACATTTAGCCATTATCCTTATCTAGTTGAGTGTGGAAAGCTCCCTTGCTTATCTTGAGTATATTCAATCCAATCGTGAACCAACCTAGAGGTATATTCTTCTCTAATATAAGCTGTCGGCAAACCGCGTCGGTATGTCTAATCAATTGAGTAAACTTTAAAAAGTATGAAGAGTACAGGGGGTGTTCTATTTGGATGACGGAGTCTATTACAATCGACGATTATTCCAATGGATTTCAATCTTCATGTTCAAAATCAATTAGTCATTTAGTGTCCACAATATCTCCCGCGATCGGAAGGGAATGCGGCTGCTATCAAAATCAATTTTTCACTTTAGTATTGTTCTTTATGTCCTTAGAATAAGGTTATTTATTTGTTTTGTTGTCCAGGACATCTCCCGCGAGGTGATGAAGGAGATGAGGCTATTGCGTGAGCTGCGGCACGACAACTTGAACTCTTTCATCGGCGCAGTCGTGGAGCCACTCCGTGTGCTCATCCTCACTGACTACTGCGCCAAAGGGAGCTTGTATGTAAGTCGCATAACTCCTTACCTAAGTATCCATGTAGCATTATATCTTACTATCCTACCCGGCGAAGTTTGTGTCGCCTATGTTCATCAGAAATAATGCACGATTTTAATGGTGAAAGATTTTTCAAATCGGACCAGTAGTTTCGGAGCCTATTCAGTACAAACAAACAATGTTTTTTTTCCTTTTCATAATATTACTGTAGAAAATGCAATTACGTCGCCAAATTCACAAACGCTTCCTAGTATAATTTAAACTTTACTACAGTAATCATGTAGGCTATGTCTGAGAAGAAACAGCACAAGAAACTTAGTCAACATTTTGAGCCATCTTACCAGAAGTATAAGCATGAAATGAATCATTACATTACTGATGACAGTCTTATATCTACTATTATTTCGCAGATACAGACCGTGTGTCACAAACAACACTTTCACATTTATACTTAGTAGAAGTAGTAATAACTAAATCAATTGTTTAATGCTATCTGATTGTATTACAGGATATAATTGAAAATGAAGATATAAAGTTAGATAAGATGTTTATATCTTCGCTAATCCATGATCTCATAAAGGTGAGTTGTAAAGATTTATTGAACTGTGTAAACTAAGTCTGCACGTATGCATTTATTTTAAGAAGCATCACTTTAAAGTTAAATTAATTACAAAAATAGTTATTAATCTTATCTACACTTTATGTTCTATTTATAAAATATGTGATAATGTTATTTATTTCAGGGTATGACGTTTATTCATACTTCGCCATTAATTTTTCACGGAAATCTCAAGTCCTCGAATTGTGTAGTAACGTCAAGATGGATGTTGCAGGTAATTGGTTTTTAATTGAATTTGGATCATTTATAAGTGGCTTATTATTAATGTTAGATTTAGTTGTAATTAAAATAATGGTTGTCTTGTTACTAGGTCACAGATTTTGGTCTCCACGAGTTACGATATTGTGCCGAAAATGATTTTATTGGAGAGCATCAATATTACAGAGGTACATAGCGAAATAACCTTGTTATTCTTTTGTTTCTAAGAGATGATGTTGTCATTGTAAAACCTATTATTTGCAGGGTTTTTGTGGAAGTCTCCAGAGCTCCTTCGGGAGTTGGATAATCCCAACGGAAGCTTGGGTGGGACGCAAAAAGGAGACGTTTATGCATTTGGTATAATTTTATACGAAATCATCGCCAGGCGGGGGCCATTCGGAGTGACTTCTCTAGAGCCCAAAGGTATTTTTTAAATTATTATTTTAGTAAACTAACTAGAATATTGGAAATTTGGAAAGTGCCATTTAAAAAATATGTATGGGATGTGTTCTGTCCGATGCAATGGAGTTCTAGTATTACTATGCCCAGTTTCGATCTGTGATTGTGATTGCTAACAGAAGCTAATAGTAATAATTCTCTTTTCAGACATAGTAGAGAGGGTCAAAAACCCGAAGCTGGACGGCGAAGAAGTGTTTCGGCCCGACACCAGCAGTATAGAAGGCGTGACGGAGGACTACGTCATCCAGTGCATGCGCGACTGCTGGGCCGAGGACCCCAACCTGCGGCCCGACTTCCCCACTATACGCTCCCGCCTAAAGAAAATGAAGTCTGGGAAGTAAGTACTTACACTTAATTTTAAAGGATTTGCCACACTGGATATATTCTAGTCTGCGGTCAAGTCAAAGTGAATGCAGTCATGAGTAACATTGTCAGTCTCTACAGGGTGGAAATGATAAGTGATCTCACTCGATTATTTCTAAACTACACAAGATATCGAAAAACTGGTTACTGATCCTGAAAGTGCTTTACGAACTCTTTCTAACGGTATCAGTAATAGGTTACAGAATTAACTGGATCAATCCGAAAATTCAATGTTTTCAGCCTCCATTCTAAATGTATGCCAGCCACACAATATTAAGTGTTATTTTTTTTTATTAAATAATAAACACTTAAAATGAACTCGTAAATTGCATTCTTATTTTAAATTATTCATGAAAAACATTGATTGTAGGCTTTACTTGTTATAATATTATCAAGACATGAGTGCCATGACTGTGGCAGTACTAAATGTATGGAAGTGGGAAACATTGAATTTTCGGATAGATCCTGTTTATTTTGTAACTTATTATTTGTACCGTTGGATAGAGCTCGTGAAGCACTTTCAGGATCAGTAGGCAACCAGTTTTTGGATAGCTTGTATAGTTTTTAATATTCAGTGGTTTTACTAAATGTATGGAAGCTGAAAACATTGAATTTTCGGATAGATCCAGTTTATTTTGTAACCCATTATTAGTACCGTTGGATAGAGCTCGTAAAGCACTTGCAGAATCAGTAACCAGTTTTTAAATATCTTGTATAGTTTACAAATAATCGAGTGAGATCACTTATCGTTTCCACCCTGTATACATTTTGTATTATTGCGATGAGCAAAGAACACAGGCTGCGTTCATTTGATCTGACCGCAGACCGCATCCAGTGTGACAAATGCTTCAGTCTTGCTTGATACTGTCCTTTTATAACCTAAATAAATACTGGCCAGCATTATTCGGTATAGTCGGGCGTTAAATTCGCATATGTATGGAGAAGACTGTTCTGGACAAATTCCGGCCCGCTTATGTGTGTAGCAGCAGCTCTAATTCACGTCGGCACGAGTGTCTAATGCTGTATTAAAGTATCGTCAGCCTATTTTTCTTAAACTTTTATGATCAAATCATTTATCACCACAAGAATGATCAAGGCATTAAAAAAATCTGATATGCGTGGTCCGTGAACTACACTTACCTTAACTAAAACTAACCAAGTTATTGTTATCCCAGGTCAAGGAACATAATGGACCAAATGATGGACATGATGGAGAAGTATGCTAATAATTTAGAAGAACTAGTCAACGAAAGAACGAGGCTACTCATAGAAGAAAAACAGAAAACCGAAGATTTACTACATAGAATGCTACCAAAGTAAGTGCTCATTAAATATTATATTAGTGATACAATATTTCCTTAAACGTGTCTAGTACAACAAAGATACATTCTCTGAAATTGCAAAATTGTGGAAAGAGATAACCTGTGTCTACAACATCAAGTTTATTGTCGGTTTACGTCATTGATTTGATTATATTTTAATGGCACGGAATAAGAAATGACATATTTTTGTTTACAACAACATTAAAAAGCTCCTCTTCACCGATAAAATTCGCTTGCTTTAGCAAAAACACAAGAATTATCACTAAATACACGTTTTGATAAAAGTAAAAGGTCCCGATAGCACTTTGTTTAGCTTTGAATGCGAACACTGCTTAGGTTTCAAGAAGTGGATTTCCCAACTAATTTAGTTATAAATATACAAGCAAGCATTGCCAGAAATACAATTTGATGTTTTAAAACGTTCTAATGATATGTAGCAAGATATAATAATTATCGATAATAGTTCTAAGTGGATAACGTTTTCGTTACTTTAGTTCCTGTATGTTACTAATAAATAACACAATGTTCTTATTTTTGTGACAATTAATATAGATGTGGGCACGATTATGGAAGACGCAAATACAACAAGATACAAATTATGTTCTTGGCTGATGCGGCGGTGTGCTCACTGCTTTACATTTAGTCCGCCTGACTGTTAATAACTTGTAAATAATGTTGCAACATTTTTTTGTTGAAAATGTATTCGTATTGTAAATACAATGTACATTAATTAGCGATTCTTAATTTGTTACTTGATTACTAAATTAATTAACGGTTCTTATACAATTGGAGCGCAATATTTACTGTATAATTACACTTTTTAGCTGCGTTTTACAGCTTATTATGCATGTTGCAACTAGGCTATCTTTCAAAAACAAGAAATAAATGTATCACTGCTGCAGCGTAAATATCCGTTGTCTTCATGTAACCAGAGAACATTGACATGGACTTGATGTAAAACAGTGGTGCATATTCTCTTATCCAAAAGAAAAAAAATGTTAATGTATTCACTTTGTTGTACTTGTGTTCTTTTCCAGATGTGGAGGTTCAATCCATTATAGAAATATCGTGAAAATGTCTTGAGGTAATTAACTCCCTACTGGTGACAGTAGTTAATATTGGTTTGCCTTGAAAGTAGGTCTCGGAGAACGTATCACTACGTCTGGAATTGTGACGTAGTGATGCCCGTGACATAGTTTTTATCAATTGGTTTAAGTAGCAGTAGCGCTTGCTTGGGTTTGTGGCGGTTCTGGCGCGGTGCCTTGAGGTGATGGCAGTTTTTACTAGTGGACTACGAATGCTTTTGCCATAAATTATCTTCCACCGAGTAGCTAATGGGATGAACCAATAGTTGACCCTGCAACTTTAAATAGACGCACAAACACTACATCGGCATGATACTTTTTTAAATCTTAGTTAATGCAACTTGTGACCTATTTACACTAACTTTAATATCTTATTTATTTTCAACGAAGAGTTTGTACTTGTAGTTTTAGAAAAGTAGTCAGAGTGCTTCTAGTAATTCGTTCCCCTATAATAAATTAATTCAATTTACTTATATCACAGCATGTTGTCCCAGGAAATATTAAATTTACTTAAACATGTATGAAATTATGTTCGTTAGTTTTTAGGGCATTGGTGAGTATTACGAAAAAGGTGATGAATTATTATACAAGATTGATATGCGTTTTGTGTTTTTGTGTCTGAATTGATATGTTGGAAACATAGTCCACGTTTTCCATAAAAATACTGCCTGATAGTGCAGGAGTCTATTTCGGTATTCATTATCTGTAGCAGTAATCTAGCGCAGTTTTTGTCGCTATAGCGCAGACAAACCATACAATTGAATAACACCCTGTCGTTAAAAGATCTTTAGAAATTAGGTCAGAAATCATCACTAGATCCATTCAACAACTAATCTCGATTAATCGATTAGTATAAAATAGTTATTTTGATCCTCCAAAACAGCTCCGTATATTTGGAACCGCGAGAGCGTGGCAAAAATCCTGGCTAAACGCGTCTGTATTTTATCTGTATCCCCAACGTGCTTGTTTCAGGTCTGTGGCGCGCCGGTTGACGACCGGGGAAGGCGTGGAACCAGAGTCCTTCGACTCCGTAACGATATACTTCAGCGACATCGTCGGCTTCACCGCTATGTCGGCAGAGAGCACGCCGCTACAGGTCGTGAACTTTCTCAACGACTTGTACACTGTGTTCGACAGGATCATCAGGGGTTACGACGTTTATAAGGTCGAGACGATTGGTGATGCTTATATGGTGGTAAGTAAGACCTAAAATTAAGTCACACCTTAAGTAACCTTGTTGTAAACACGGCTTCCTCAGTTTAAGTTTAGAAGCAAGTTTTTGATTGATCCTTGTTTTTCCAGACAGTTATTAACAGCTCAGTTACATTAAAATAAACGGAATCTAAACTATGTCTACTAGATAACGCATAAACGTGTCAACATTAATTATCCATTAACAAAATGATAATGGTCATTAAATTAACATTAAGGCAATGTCGTTGACAACACCCGACAGTTGTCGGCAATATTTCTTGTTGCAAAACTAATTATATAAATTGCAGTATTTTATGCGTATATCGATTACATTCTGATGAAATTAATAAATTTTTTTACAGGTATCGGGTCTACCAATAAGGAACAACGATCGACACGTGGGTGAAATCGCGTCAATGGCGCTCGAATTGTTGAACGCAGTCAAGAGTCACAAGATATCTCATAGACCAAATGAAACTCTCAAACTAAGGATAGGAATACACACAGGTATGATCATTAGTTCGGAAAGGGCTTCTATGCTAAAATATTAAGATTATGTCTATAGTTCTAAAAAAATTAACACGTATCACAAACCCATCTATTGTTGACAATTTAAGTATTATGAAGACAGCGCCGCCCACAAAGCGGCCATCCATACATTACGACGCCACACGTTAAAGGGGGTAAATGGAGTGTCCCACCAAGGGGTGGGAGGAGTTCTAGATTTCGTGACGTCACATTTCAAAATCGAATACTTCGAAGTAATGTTTGGGTTGTTGGAAAGTTAGATTTTCGAAAGTTGGATTTTGTTTTGATAGCTTACATAACTTCTATTATAGGTAGGATAGGTTTACCTAACTTTTATTTTGTTAAAAGGTCGTTTTTAAAAGGAGAAAAAATAAAAAACGTCTATCGTCTATTACTTAAAAAGGTGTCTCTGTATGAGCAAGCTACAATAATAATATTAATACAGGTCCCGTAGTAGCGGGCGTGGTAGGGCTGACGATGCCTCGCTACTGCCTATTCGGGGACACGGTGAACACGGCGTCGCGAATGGAGTCAAACGGCGAGCCGCTGCGTATACACATTTCGCCGAACTGCAAGTATGCGCTCGACAAGATCGGCGGGTATGTCGTCGAGCCGAGAGGCACGATACCCATCAAGGGGAAGGGGCAGGTTGGTGCTCTTATTGTTTTCTTTTTTTTTTCGTTTCAGCTTATGGCAAACCACTGCTGTATGTAAAACAAGAAACTCCACCTTTTCTTGCTTTTTAAAAGTTTTAATAAAAGCTTCTTTTCTAATTAAAAATTGGACTATTTATTCTGGTGATGACAACTTTAAAGAAACATTGCCAGGGCCTTTTTTAGGATTATTTTCCGACTTACACCATTATTAAAGCTAAGTTTAAATAGAAATAAATTTGTCATACCGAAGACCAGTGATAGATTGTTTAGCATTAGTCTAGCTAGTCTAAAAGTATATAGTTTTGTATGTGTTTAAAATGTTGTCTAAGCACTTGAAAAGGTGGATTTCTATTTGTTCGTATGTAATTGTATGATAGCTCTTTACGGTAAATTAATTTCGATTAGTAATGTAGATCCACAAATATAGCTTGATGATCTTTTTAGCATATTTTTTATGCAAATGAGACGTCTTGGTTGACTAAAGCCTGGTCCGTGAGCACGTAGAATTTTGTCGCAATATCGCTCGCACACTCGCTGCGGGTGCCAGTCGCACAGTCGAGACAGCAATATAATTACGCGCGAGCGATAAGGATGGGTAGCTTGGGGTCATTGGAATAAATTCTACGTGCTTACGGACCAGGCTTTAATAAGTTTTAGAAAATAGTGTTTCAATGAATCACGCGCCTCTTCCAGGTGCAGACGTATTGGCTAGTCAGCGCGACGGAGAAGGCGATCCAGAAGCGACCGGTGGAGGGCGAGGAGCGGCCGCTGTTCCGTCGCCCGCGCAAGAGCCCCAAGCTAACAGACTCAAGGCACGCGTCGTTATCAGGTACGGACGAGTTACATTTTACTTGCAAGGATTGCTTTTGAAGATGACGGTGATCGAACGACGTGCGACGGGCGCCCGCAGTGAGTGTGCGAGCGCGACAGCAACATAATTACGCGCGAGCGATAAGGATGGGCAGCTTGGGGTCATTGGACAAAATTCTACGTGCTCACGGACCAGGCTTTAGCGAGTTGATTTGTTGTTGTGTATAAGCGAGACAGAAAGCACTTGTCAATCTGACTATGCAAGATGTCATCACGAGTCTATACAGATAGAAATCTTTGCTTGTGTTGATCACCTCAATTAGCTGTGCGACCTAGAACATAATTACATTAAATAATGAATAAGTTAATTTAAGGTGTGCCAAGTTCGATTCTGACTTTTTCGAATTCCCCATTCACCAATTCTAAAATTTTACCAAATAAATGAAAACGAGACAGCGAGTGCTTGTCAATCTGACTATGCAAGACGTCAACACGAGTCTATACAGATAGAAATCTTTGCCTGTGTTGATCACCTCAACTAGCTGTGCGACCTAGAACATAATTACATTAAATAATGAGTAAGTTAATTTAAGATGTGCCAAGTTCAATTCTGACTTTTTCGCATTCCGCATTCACATAAAAAATCTAACTTCTATTAAATAAAATAAAGTCATCACCTTTTTTCTGCATTATACCATCCCTATTTAAAGCAATAGAGCAAGGTTGTTAACAAATGGAGTAATGTGAACAGGCGACTGTTGGCTAGGCGGCGTGTGCGGCGTGCGCCAGCGCGTGGCCAGCAGCACGCGCTCCGCCGGCGGCGACTCCGGCGCGCGCGGCTCGCGCTCCTCCCTACCCGCGGCGGCGCTGCTACCGGCTTGCGCGGCCATGCAGCCTGCACTACCCGCGCCCTCGTCACCACCGGCTTCGCGCCGTATACGCACAGATTTGGCTGCCAGAACCAGGTATGTCGCTCTTTCTAAACCTTATGTAGAGGTCTTTAGCACGCGCCCCGCCGGCGGCGACTCCGGCGCGCGCGGCTCGCGCTCGTCCCTACCCGCGACGGCGCTGCTACCGGCTTGCGCGGCCATGCAGCCCGCACTACCCGCGCCCTCGTCACCACCGGCTTCCCGCCGTATACGCACGGACCTAGCTGCGAGAACCAGGTATGTAACTGTTTCTAAACCTTATGTAGAGTTCTTTATCACGTGATCTGACGGTGGCGACTCGGGCGCGCGCGGCTCGCGCTCGTCCCTACCCGCGACGGCGCTGCTACCGGCTTGCGCGGCCATGCAGCCCGCACTACCCGCGCCCTCGTCACCACCGGCTTCGCGCCGTATACGCACGGACCTAGCTGCGAGAACCAGGTATGTAACTGTTTCTAAACCTTATGTAGAGTTCTTTATCACGTGATCTGACGGTGGCGACTCGGGCGCGCGCGGCTCGCGCTCGTCCCTACCCGCGGCGGCGCTGCTACCCGCCTGCGCGCCCATGTAGCCCGCACTACCCGCGCCCTCGTCACCACCGGCTTCGCGCCGTATTCGTACAGACCTAGCTGCCAGAACCAGGTATGTTGCTGTTTCCACACCTCTTAGAGTATTGTCACGTGATCAGACGGCGGCGACACCGGCGCGCGCTGCTACCCGCCTGCGCGGCCATGCAGCCCCCACTACCCGCGCCTTCGTCACCACCGGCTTCGCGGCGTATACGCACAGATTTGGCTGCCAGAACCAGGTATGTAACTGTTTCCACACCTCTTAGAGTATTGTGACGTGATCAGACGGTCACGTGATTAGACGGCGGCGACTCCGGCGCGCGCGCCTCGCGCTCGTCCCTACCCGCGGCGGCGCTGCTACCCGCCTGCGCGGCCATGCAGCCCGCACTACCCGCGCCCTCGTCACCACCGGCTTCGCGGCGTATACGCACAGATCTAGCTGCCAGAACCAGGTATGTAGCTGTTGTTATTTAGTTGTTGTTAAGTATGATATCACGTGAGCAGGGGCGGTGACTAACGGGCGCGACTCGCGATCCTGTTTACCGGCGGCTGCTTTATTACCGCCCTGCTCACAGTTCAAATGAAGAAAGTGATGATAACTATATTTTTTTAAATTATTAGGCGGTGTGAAGTACCCTATTGTTACATCAATACTGATAGACTTGTATTCGGTTGCAGGCACGCGCTGAGCTCGATCGCGTCGTCGACGGCGGGCGAGTGCGAGGGCGAGGCGACGCTGCGCGCGGCGCAGTCGCTGGACGGGCTCGCGCGCGTGCGCCGCCACCACACCACGCGCTCGCTCGGCGCCGACGCGCCCGTCTCCACCGTCTCCGGGGACCCCGTCTTCAACGGCACCATCATCGGCATCGTCACCGACGACAAGACCGAGGACAGCCCGCTCCTCCGAAAGTGCAGCCTCTACAACAAGTTCGAGCGGCCCAAGAGAAAAGTCCACGACACCAACTACATCGAGTTCTACAAGAAGTGGCGCTCGTTGGAGAACATCGCCGTGGAGAAGAGCGACGTGCGCAAGAACCCGCGCTTCGCGATCCGCTCGTGGCTGCTCGGCATCTTCAGCGGCACCCGCAGCAGCGACTCCTCGCTGCGCCGCGCGCCGCCGCTGCTCGACAAGGAGTCCGCCGTCTGAGCGCGACCGCCGCAAACACATAGACGCCAGCCCGCTTAAAGTCCGGTCGCTGAGCAGATAGAATTTCGTCTTATGACCCCAAGCTACCCATCCTTGTTGCTCACATGTAATTATATTGCTGTCGCGCTCGCACACTCACTGCGGCCGCCTGCCGAACAGTCGCTATAGCAATATAATTACGTGCGAGTGATAAGGATGGGTAGCTTGGGGTCATTGGACGAAATTCTATCTGCTCGGCAACCGGACTAGAAGTCATCACGGAGTCGTGCGATACGTACTTCGGTCGTATCGCTTCGTCCACTCATACTCGTATTCTAGTTTATCAGTAGCGTAGGTCAGTCAATTCGTAGGTGTAACGTGTAATTTATTTCGGGGCCTATGTGTTCTGCGTATATCCTACTCCGATTCGATGTATATCAGGCACGTGTATGTATATGAAACGCTGTTGTAAATAATATATGTAAGTAAAACGATGTTACCGTGAATTGTGAAATAAGAGTTTAATGTTATTAAATAATTTCTATTTAATACGGTTTCTTAATAATACTGACATAGATCACAATAACGCTAAGCCCGCGATAAACGAGGATTATGAGAATCGGCCGACCGATTTCTTTACTGGCCCAGCGCGGACAGGTATATTTGTTTACATAGATTTTAGCTAGGTTTCTAAAAAATTACGTACATAACCGCTTTTGACTAGCGTAAATAAACTAATGAACTTGCGATTACGTATCTGCAAGCAGAGGTATCCCGGCGCCGTCTTCGTTGTAGGTGCAGCCGTTGATGACTAGCTTGATGTCGCACGGCTCGCAGCGCTTCTCGTCGGCGGGCCCCAGCGGGGCACACGGGGGGACCGCCACGCTAGCCGGGGGGCACTCCGAATGCTCGATGATGGGACACGACACGCTCGTGTACTCTTGACGAAGACTCGGAGCTTCTAATAAGTCGCTGCGCTGCGTTGGGGCTGAACGGCCTTCGCCTACAACCTAAAAGAAACAAAATACAATAAAATTAGTATTTGAAATTACATAAGCACGTTAGTGGCACTAATTTGCATTGATGCAAAGGCAGGGCACGGCAGTGCCCCCACCAAGTCGAGCAAAAAAGCGGCACGGCCGTACCATCCTTTTCTCGAAGCAATTCAGGCCATTTTCGACCGCCTGTAACTTCGTTGTGGATAAAACTAGAAGGCTGAATTTTCATTAGCTATGCAGGCATTGTAAAGACACGGTATATTTAAAATTTCATTCAATTTGAACCAGTAGTTTAAGAATTATAACGGGTCAAAGTTACTTAATTTTGTCACTCACTGACTCACTGACTCACTGACTGACTCACCGATCATCAAAATTCTAAGGCACTTCTAGCAGACCTAGAAGCTTCAAATTTGGAATATAAGTAGTGTTTGGTGTATGAATCAAGGAAAAACTAAAATATTTGGGGGCACGGTAGTGCAACGGCCAAGTCGAGTGAAGTTTTTCAATTTCGGTCCAGTTTTCTAGATACATAACTGCTGTCTACAAAATACAAAAAGAAATGAGATTTGGGGGCACGGTAGTGCAACCGCCAAGTCGAGTAAAATTTTTAAATTTCGGTCCAGTTTTCTAGATACATAACTGCTGTCTACAAAATACAAAAAGAAATGAGATCCCATCAAAAACAATACTTGTCAAAAAAACCAAGTCTCGCAACTCAGTTGTCAGCATGAAAACACGTGTAAATTAAATTATTTAGTGCGATGGCCAAGTCAATATATTTATGTAAAACGTTAAAGATTTCCTGGCCTGGACTTGGTATTACATGGATCTCACAACTTTTTACCGTAGAACAACTGAGTTGCGAGACTTGGTTTTTTTGACAAGTATTGTTTTTGATGGGATTGTGTTTACCTCCATGAGATATTCATCACTCCGATGATGCAGTACGCTATCCGTGTGAGACTCTAAATGGTTACCCGAAGCAAATCTTAATTTTTTTGGAGATTCTAAACTGCAACATCTGAAATCAGAAACATAGACATGATTATTTTATATACATTCCGCATTTTTGCGTTAAAATAATGTCGCTTTGTAGTAGAAGGAAAAGTCGCTATTAATTTTACCTGTGCAAACCCCCAACTTGGTTCTTCCAATTTCTACTCTTCAAAGAGCTTCGTTGGCCCCGTTTCTCAATAGAGGGCGGTGGCGCAGTATCTTCCCTTAGCGCCCGCCGCTTAGCTCGCGCGGCCGCCGCAGCTGGTTCCTCGCCGCGAAGCCAGTACGTCATCTGGTCACGCTTGCCTTTCATAGAGACGATGCCACGCTCCTCCAAAATGTATCCACCTAATTGGTCTAAGAGAGACTTGCATGCTGCGCTGCAGTGAATTTTGAGTGCTGAAAGTAAAATGGTTTCCTCGAATTAAGGACCCAAAATCTACTTCTACAGAAAGAAATATCCGGCTCGAAGGACCAATAAAATTGTACTTACGAGCTCCGGTGGACTCGAAACGACTCGCAGTATTCACGGTGTCACCAAATAAGCAATACCTCGGCATTTTTAGGCCCACAACTCCAGCGCATACTGGTCCTGAAAGTAACCATTTTAAAATGACCCCTATGGTAACACATAACAGGAATTTTGTTTTCATATGGGTACCTTAAAAACTAGGGATTGATGGTGGAAACGGGCATAAGTGGTCTAAAACCTAGTAGAGTCAGCGTCAAATAGTTCGTGACACCCAAAGTAGCCAAACAGTTGACAACAGAACCTCAATCGACGCTGAGCGCCCGCGCAGATGATGCCGTGGGGACCGGTGGTCCGGCACGTGACCACTAGGGCTGTCTATGGTGCAGTATTTAGGTGGTTACCGGAGTGGATGCCGACTCGCAGCAGCAGGCGGTGCCGCACGCGGAAGGCGCCACCTCGTCCGCGTGGATTTTAATGTCGTTAGGATCGGTAGTACGCCACGCGACCACTAGGCTAGCCGTTTATGACGCAATATGAACTAGTGGTTCATGTGGTGGTTACCCGAGTGGAGGCCGACTCGCAGCAGCAGGCGGTGCTCGGGGCGGTGCCGCACGCGGAAGACGCCACCTCATCCGCGTGGATAACGTCGTTAGGATCGTTATGCCAGTTTTCACCTTCAAACCCTAATTTTTAAGTGACCCCTATGGTAACACATTATATGAATTTTGTTTTCATAAAGGTCATTTAAAAATTAGGGATTGATGGTGAAAACGGGCATAATTTGTCTGGCACGCGCTAGTTCGCCACTTAGGCCGGCTGTCTATGAAGTAACATAAACTGATGATAGTCGATGGTTACCCGAGTGAAGGCCGACCCGCAGTAGTAGGCGGTGCTCGGGGCGGTGCCGCACGCGGAAGGCGCGCGTGGCGGCCAGCAGCGCCAGCGCCATAGATGCCACCTCATCCGCGTGAATGATGCCGTGGGGACCGGCACGCGATCACTAGGGCTGTCTCTGGTGCAGTATTTAGGTGGTTACCCGAGTGGATGCCGACCCGCAGTAGCAGGCGGTGCCGCACGCGGAAGGCGCGCGTGAAAGGCGCCACGTCGTCCGCGTGGATAATGCCGTTAGGATCGGTAGTTCAGCACGCGCTAGTTCGACACCTAGGCCGGCTGTCTAGTAATATAAACTGATGATAGTCGATGGTTACCTGAGTGGATGCCGACCCGCAGCAGCAGTCGGTGCCGCACGCTGAAGGCGCCACCTCGTCCGCGTGGATCATGACGTTGGGATCGGTAGTACGACACGCGCTAGTGCGTTAAAGGTCGGCTGTCTATGATGTAAAATAAACTGATAATAATCGATGGTTACCTGAGTGGAGGCCGACCCGCAGCAGCAGGCGGTGCTCGGGGCGATGCCGCACGCGGAAGGCGCGCGTGAAAGGTGCCACCTCGTCCGCGTGAATAATGTCGTTAGAATCGTTAGTCTGGCACGCGCTAGTTCGACACCTAGGCCGGCTGTCTATGCAGTAACATAAACTGATGGTAGTCGATGGTTACCGGAGTGGATGCCGGCCGCAGCAGCAGTTGGTGACGCACGCTGAAGGCGCCACCTCGCTCGCGTGGATGATGCCGTGGGGATTGCTGGTCCGGCACGCGATCACTAGGGCTGTCTATGATGCAGTATTTAGGTGGTTACCTGAATGGAGGCCGACCCGCAGTAGTAGGCGGTGCTCGGGGCGGTGCCGCACGCGGAAGGCGCGCGTGGCGGCCAGCAGCGCCAGCGCCATAGACGCCACTTCGCCCGCGTGGATGATGCCGTGGGGTCCGGCACGCGATCACTAGGGCTGTCTATGGTGCAGTATTTAGGTGGTTACCTGAATGGAGGCCGACCCGCAGTAGTAGGCGGTGCTCGGGGCGGTGCCGCACGCGGAAGGCGCGCGTGGCCGCCAGCAGCGCCAGCGCCATGGATGCCACTTCGCCCGCGTGGATGATGCCGTTGCGGATCGGCAGCCCTGACACCTGGATCAAGTGGTAAGTCTAATCTTCATAATGTTCTTATTCATAAAAACTACAAAGTTAAGTTTGATTTGTCTGCTTTCATCTCAGAAAAGAGAAGTCGATTTTGTTTTCATTACAATAGTACTTGTAATGAGTTTACTTATCTACTGAGATAGGTTCTAATGTTGGCTCATGAAGTGAACAAGCCAGTCGAGTTTACAGCGCACCTGGCGGCCATGACGTCTCATCGAAGTTCTTAGGGTTCGGTCAAACTAACGCGATCACACCGCGATCAGCCGGCGTGCAGCGATGGCGACCAGACTTAAATGCATTGATCGCCATCGCTGCACGCCGGCTGATCGCGTGTGATCGCTTTGGTTTGGCCGAACCTTAAACGGACGTAGCGAACGCAGGGAGGTGTGCGGATAAGTAGAAGGGATAGTCGCATTCCAGCGCGGTGCGCATTTAGCTCGATCGGGTTGTAGCATAATGAGTTACTTACCACCATGTAGGCATCGCCGATAGTTTCAACTTTGTACACGTCGAAGTTCTCCAAAATTGAGTCAAAACAAGTGTACAAGTCATTCAAGAAGTCAACAACCTGCAAAAATGAATTGAATAAGTATAGGGGGTTTGCATTGTAAAAGAAAATGTTTTATGTAAAGTGTAGTGTGTAGTTAGGATTTTGTTTAAGCTCGGTTTTAATAATGACATTGTGATTGTGGAAGAAAAGCTTTAATATGATTATTACCTGCAGAGGTGTGCTTTCAGCTGACATAGCAGTGAAGCCGACGATGTCGCTGAAGTAGATCGTCACCGAGTCGTAGCTCTCAGGCATAACTCTTCGCCCTCGTTTTAGCTGCTCTGCCACTGGTGCCGGTAGCATTTCCTCCAACAGTGCCTCTAATAAAAGGAACAACCCAATGAATTTGCATTTAAAGTCTTATATCTTTTAGTAATAAGTCAAAGTGAATTGAAGAAAATGTTCAGTTTATGACATGCTAATGGACTTCGAATAATTTAATTGCGGCTCCAATGACAGTTTAACTTTCGCCCGGGCCCCGGACAAACTTCCTTCCTTC